CATGGCTTTTGACGAGCCAATATTAAACTTTCAGTTTGTGAAGATGCTCTTGCTGCTGTTATTTAGAGGTATTACTGATTAGAAATTCGGTTTTCAATCTCAACTGAGCTCTAGATAATTCTGGTTTTTAACCTGTCAAGCGTGGTGACGTATGTGAGGGAGTTATTTTAACACCTGCCGAGCCCCTTTACACAGCAACAATTTTCCTGTTGATATGGAATATTAGATATTGGTGAGCTTGTTGAATATAACGCTAAATGCAATAGTTTTAAAATATTTACAAGGAAAACATAATGTACCAATACAATGGTTCTTGTTTGACAAGCTGTGAAATTTCACCTTTAAACGGCGGAAGTCAATTTAAGCTCAAGAAAACCTGTCCGTTAATAAAGGTTTCCTAGCAACGGCGAGTGTGCAACAATACACCCTATGTAAAATGAAAAGCGACTGGGCGCTACACGCGCGAAAACGAGGCTAGTTGGGCGAAGAAAAAAATGGTCACCTGATGCGAAGGGTGCCAAATTTTAAATATGCCGGCAAATTATTGTGTTCCTAACTGCACCAAAAAGATTTAAAGAACTGAAAAAGGAAAAAAAATTTCCTACTTCAAGTTTCCAGATGATGTGAAACTCAAGAAACGTTGGCTGCATGCTCAGTTCGTCGCGACCAAGGTAAGGAATTTAGTGTCAACCAAAACACGAAAATTTGCTCTCGTCACTTTAAACCTGAGGACTTTGTTAAGTCTATCGGAGGCCAGCGTATTTATGTCAGGGAAGGGGTCGTGCCATCACGTTTTTCTTGGTCACAAAGATCTCCGCTAAAGAGAAAGCCTCCTAAGAGACGAATATTTATGTCGAATACAGACACCGAGTTGTTAGTATCTCAAACAATCAGTGCAGCTGAAACCAACGCTGATAACTGCACTTCACCAGCAGCTGGCAGCTCTCCTGATCATGACGTGCAAAAGGACACGGATACGCAGGAAAACACGACAGAGGATGTCAAAGAACTTCTGAAGAGTTTGGAGCTTGACTCTCGCGTTTTTCAGTTGCGAAATTTTACTTCTCACGAGGACATCGCCTTTTACACCGGGTTTCCTCACTTAGCTACAATTATGCTGTATATGAATTTTTAAACACTGGAACGAGTGGGGAGAACACTAGGTACTGCTCATCAAAAGAGAGAAGTGTCCCAAAGTGTTTTTATGATGAGAACGAAACTGAAACCGAGGAACCAGAAGAATTTACTAACAAAGGTAGAAAAAGGAGCTTAGAAGCAAGTGAGGAGTTTTTCATTGTACTCTGCAGACTGAGAAGGGAATTTGCAGAGAAACATCTGGCTCATTTGTTTCACATCTCTCAGTCAACAGTGAGCAGGATATTCCTGTACTGGATAAATTACATGTATCTCAAATTTGGCCAGGTATCTATATGGGCAAATAAGGAGGTTGTTAGAGCTACTATGCCAGACAGCTTTAAAGACAAATACTCTTCCACCCGTGTAAAAATCGATTGCACAGAGATTAGATGTCAGATGCCTTCCAGCCTTCTGTTGAATTCCAAACTGTTCAGCTCGTATAAGAACCATGTAACTCTGAAAGGCTTTGTTGGAATTGCTCCCAGTAGGGCTATAACTTTTATCAGTCAACTGTACAGTGGAAGTATTTCCGATCGCGAAATTGTTGAGAGAAGTGGTTTTCTGAAGTTAGAGTTTCATACAGGTGACACTGTGATGGCCGATAGAGGCTTTACAATTGAGACCTCCTCCACTTGGTGTGAACCTAAACATTCCACCTTTTCTAGGGTTGAACACCCAAATGACAGCACAAGATGTTATCAAGACCCACGAAATTGCCTCGATTAGAATACATATCGAACGAGCTATGAACAAAATCAAGAACTTCCACATTTGGGATAGTGTCGTACCACTTAGTCTAATTGTGGTAGTAAATCAAATGTGGAGTGTCTGTGCCTTTTTGTGTAACATGCACAATCCTCTTATTTCTACATAACATTTAGGCAAGGCAATAAGGCACTCTACAGAAAACAACACCATTTAATAAAAGTGTGACCCTAATGTTATGTCTCAGAAAGAGCGCAGATTTGGTAAACTAGGGCTTGGTAAACTGTCATTTGTCTTCATTCAGTCTTGTGCTAAAGAACTAAGAATAAAGAAACTAAATAAATCTTACAAAAGCTTTATCTTGAAAGACATCACGGTTGATACTCTGTTTTAGATATGTTTCATTAATACAATTTAACAACAATGACATGACTTTTCTAATGTTTACAGAATTCTAAAGCACCTGGTTCTATAAAGTGATTTAAATAGCAGTTCTTAAGGGCCCATTAACCGATCCTTTCGAGCCGTTGCTAAGGAAAATTTATTCTCGTATAATCTCATCATTTTTAGTTATTTCAGAGTTATTTCATGTGTTTTAGCTATCTCATGATTAGTAACAGTAGTGATGACGCCATCAGGCCACGCCTGATACTAAAAAAAACGCAAAGGCTCCCAGGCAAATTACTTTATCGGGATTTTTTTCATTGATTAAAAATTTTAATTTAAATCCTCATTACGCTATGCATAGATTTTGTTTCATTTCTAAAAGGTCAGATTTTGAGAGAATTTCAAAATATTAAAAAATTCGTAATTTTCTGAATAAAGCATGATTTTGAAAAAGGAATGCATAGCTATCTTTCCAAAGTTGGCTTTCATCGAAATCCGTCGAAAAAGGCCGCATTTAATGAAAAATCGCGTTTCCTTTAGCATTTAAAGAAACCGGAAGTGCGCCCGATATATATTGGAAGTTACCCTATCAGCGCTTGCGCAATTTACACTACCAGCGCACTTCGGTAAGATCAAACAAAGCCACACGGAGTTAGTTTTTCTCTTTCTGTTGCTCTTGTTTTTCCGTCTTTTTCTTATTTTTTCTCTGCTTGTACTTGTTTTTACTTTGCATTTTGTGAAACGCAAAGAAAAACATCTAAAATGTCAGCAAATTTAGAAGTTATTAAGTTGTTTTTATTTTCCACGCTCAGGCTGACGTAAGTAACCGGAAGTGAAATTTCACCTCCATAGCAACGCGCGCGAGCGTGCGCATAGATCGGTTAATGGGCCCTTAAAGCATTCATTCATTGTGTCCCAAAACTGAGGATCAAATGTGATCCTCTCTACACTCATACCTTTGCTGGGGTAAATTACAAAATCAAATAATCAAAATTAAACTACAAAGATGATTTCCACTCCGTATTGCGCACTCTCGAGAGTTTATTTGCGTTTTTTGTTTTGTTTCATGTAAGACATCGCAACATGTAAACATTTCTCAACCACTTACATGAAGCAAATTCAAAGTTTCAAAACAACTGCCATTATGGGTATAACGCGGTCGAAGCTTTATGCTTCGTTCTTTCTCATATCACATGATGAAACAGCTTCGCAGCTGTAAAAATCAATGAAGCTGTTGGAAAAAGAATTTGAAAGGCCTCAAAGATAAGGCATGTGGTTCGTAACGAATAACATCGAGTGTGATTTACAATGTTTTTAAACATTGGGGTGCTGAGACTGCGCAGTACGGACTGGAAATCATCTTTGATTGCTATTAATGAAGTATATTTTTTGGAATATTCTATGAATATTTGACCATGCATTCATCAATCATCGATGTCAGTAACGAATTATATAATGCTTGTTTTTTGGCTTTCTTCAGAAAAGCTTATTTCAGGCATACTGGATTTTCTAAAGGAAAACTTTCCTCCGGTAAGAAACAACTCTCGAGCTCTGAAGCCTTCTTAACCATGTTATTCGCGTTTTGCAAACAAGCAAATATCATTTTCTTTATGGGAAAAATCGACCCCGACCCGTCCCAGTTTAGATTATTTTAATATCTTGCACAATGAGCAGGTGACAGGCTTGCGGGTAAAAAATTATAAATATCTATTTAGTGCCAAATTCTTTTTAACACCGGATTTGAAATAAATTCGGAATATAAAGGAAGGCTTTTTTTGTAAAAGAATAGTGAAGATTAACAATATAACGAAATGACTTGAAATCATAACCTGAAGTCGAAAGATTTATTGCGACATCGTTGCTGTCATTTTGCTTTACAATTACATATGTAATGTTTTCCGTATAGAAGCATTAAGTTAAATGCGATGTTTCCATACAATTAAATAGCCAGTAAAAATTAGTAATTGGTGAAAGTTTTAGCTCTTTGGGTCTAATATTGAAGGAAATTTGGGCTTTCGGAAATTACAAAATTTCTCGGAAGAGAAAGCGTTAATGAGCTCGTACATTCATAGGTCAATTAATCGTGTCTTTCCCTTTCAATACATTCTTTTTTTCCAAGAATATATTTGACAAGAATATCGAGGCTGAAATTTACGAGATTGTAAAAATATATTTAAGAATAAACCCGAAGCTGAGATTTTGAAAAGAATATAGCTTTGCGTGTTGAAAATTTTAAATACAATACAATTATATGTTTTTAACCAAACAGTATATATAAAATTCACTTTCTCTAAACGGCAAAACTAGCCAAAAAATGTTGCTAATAACATTTCTGCAAGAAATTATGTGCGTCATTTTAGGCCTTAACGCCTGCCGGCTGCCTCCAAAATTACTTCAACACCATCCAGACACCAAATACATTCGAAACCAGAAATGTCATACGCTATAATCTTAGAATATTGACAAGAATATTTTCAGCCTAAAATCGGCAGAAAAATAAGAATATTCAACCTCGGCTGTAAAAACAATGTTCTTATGAAGAAAAAGTGTATTCAGACTTGGTACTCTTGAGGCACTTAAGCTGATGAAGCAAATATTGTTAACCAAAATTGCAGTATAAAAAAGTGCAAAGTTACAATTTGCGTCCTCCTCGCTTCCCTAATGGAAACCAAATTCTCAGTAACGGTAGAATGGTTGCCAGAAACTTGTTTGACAAGAACTTATCATAAAGCAAGAACATGTCATGATGGCAACTAGTGAAATGGATTAACATGTGGAAAAAATTAGAACATTAGGTAACAGTGGCTGTTTACTATTTAGAACGAAATTACGGAAATTTTAGTGAGGAATCACCGTACGGGAAGAACAAAGAAACGTTGAGGATAATTAAGGCTAAGGCTGTGAAAACCAAAAGGATTGGGGCTGCTGTAAACGATACAAAACTTTACATGGAATATGAATTTTCATTAGTAACGGCCAGACTGGTAAATGGCACGCGTATGACCCTTACAAAAGTAGTTTTTCTTTGTCCCGGAAATTTTCTAGTGGGCTGTACACAGAGAAAGAGTCATATCCATTTACGCATCGAAACCGGAATTTACTGAAAATGCTGTAAATGGTAGTTTCCTTTATTCAGTTTCACCGCTCCGCCTGAAAATGTAGATAGATGGACTTGGGTGTGAATAAACGGGTTATAAACTCAACTTTTGGCCCAAATGGTTTATCTGCAGATACATTTTGGTGTACATCGGCGAGTTCGCAAAGGTTAATTAAGAAAAAAAACGTTTATATTATAATACTCTGCGCTCAAGTGGGTTTCTTGTACGTATATCCCCTCCGAAGCTGTAACAAAGTGCGTGAAGGCTTTGCTTTATGATAACTCTGGTGATCGTTTTGGCGCCGAAGTCAGAGAATCTGACTCAAAATAGCTTTGTACTCTCGCCTGAACTGTTTATTTGTTACTTCATATATGAAAGGGTTTATGGCGCTACTAAGGTAAATCAAGAACCCGTATGTAAGGTAAGCTTGTCGCGAAAAAGTGGATTTCCCTTGTGCGACGTCGATGTAGTCCATGACAGAGACAGGAAGCCAACAACATGTAAAACCGACCATTACTGCTGCTAAAGTCTTGGTAACTTTTGCTTCTTCCACGTTCGCTCTGAGTTGCTGCAAGTTGTTTTGAAGCGAGAAAACACGGTTTGATTGCGATACTGAGCAGAACACTTTGGCGTAGCAGATTTTAATTACTGTTAAGGGTGCTGCAATATAAATGAGCCCAAGAAAGACAGCGTAGGTAATGTTTCTTTCAAATGTATACAAGCACATGGCTTCACCCGGGTGGAATTCAAATCCAGAGTTGTTAAAGAAGAACGGAGGCACAGATCCAACGAGAGCTACGCACCAAACAACAGCAATGTACAGCAAAGCTCTTTGTTTTTTGAACAAGACCGCGTACTTTTCCGGTTTGACAACGCAGTAATATCGACTTACTGCAATTAATCCCATAGTCTGAAGAGAAGCAAATCCAAATGTGAATGCTCCAAAACCGACAAAACGACAAAAACTCTCACCAAAAATCCAGTGGCCGCGAAAAAGAGTTACAACTGAAAAAGGCATACAGAAGATGGACATGAGAATATCGCTTACATCAAGCGCTATCACAAGCATGTTGGGAAGCGTACGAAGGCTGTGGTTTCTGTACACGGCGTAACAAGTAAGGAGATTGCCAAAGAAGGCCACAACATTGATGAGAGCTAACAAAACTGTTTCAATCCAAACAAGGGCGTCCGTCCTCAAAGCAAGCTCTTTAGAAAATGATTCCTTCATGACTTTGACGACTTACGGAAAAAAAAACTTTAAAGTTTTGAAGCAGTATTAAACTTTCAATTTGTGTACAAACCCTCGTTGCTGTTATTATTTAAAGGTATTTATTACTGATGAGATATTTGATTCTCAGTCTCAATTCAGCTCTAGATAATTCTGGTTTCTGACCTGTCAAGCGCAGTGAGGTAGCTAATGGAGTTATTTTAACCCCTGCCGAACGGGTTTACTCAACGACAATTTTCCTGTCGATATGCAATATATTAGATATATCTGAGCGTGTTGAATATGACGCTAATTACAACAGTTAATATTTACAAGGAAACATTACGTACGAATACAATTGTTCTTGTTTGAAAAGCTATGAAATTTCACCTTTTAGCGACGGAAGTCAATTTATGCTCAATATAGCCTGTCCATTAAAAAAGGTTTCCCAGCAACGGCAGGCGTACAACAATGGCTGACGGCGAAGTCGAAGTAGAAGAGCAGAAGCAGGTCATAGAAGGGAAAATAGGAAATGAATTAGAAGGACGAGGATACAGAGTTACTAATAAACCTGTTTGAGGACCGAGCCCATTAATGGGATGTAGTTCATGAAGACTGCATAAATAGCGACAAAAAGGAAGAGGCTTACTGTCAAATCGATG